CTCCGAGGCGGCGAGCGCCGCCAGTGCCTCCTCCTGGCTGCCGCCGGCCGCCTTCTCCAGGCGAGGGCGCGCGTCGCGGGAGGGCACGCCACGAGAAAAAAAACACAACAACAATCTGTACATACATATATATATATATATATGTATATAAACATACATACATATACAAACATACATATTATATATATATATATACATATACATACATACATATACACATATACGTATATATATGTATATACATATGTGTATATATATATACACACGGACGCCCTCCGACGAACTTTGCATATACTTTCAGGGAGGGCGGCGGTGTATAAAGTCGGTTGCTCCCAGTGGTGATTTACGCACGGTGGGGGCATTGGATGACAAGGAAACCCCTAGATAAGGAATCCAGGGTCTGGAGGCCGGTGGAACTCCAATCGAGGCTTGGCCATGGGCCTCCCCACCGCCCTCATCACATACGGAATTCTCCAGGGTCTGCAGCATCCCCGGCGCCTTCCTGAACCAACGCCCCCACCCGTATACATCGCGACCCTCCTCCTCCTCCTCCTCCTCCGTCACCCTCCTCCACTCCTCTCCTCTCCTTCCTACTCCTCCTCCTCCTCCTCCTCCTCCTCCTCCTCCTCCTCCTCCTCCCCCTCCTCCCCCTCCTCCCCCTCCTCCTCCCCTGGGGCCCACGAGCAATCCACTGGAGGCTGTCGGCGCAGCCCTGCGGCGGGGAAGGGGCGCGAAGCGGCGGGCGCGCGCAGGCCGCAGGCAGGCCGCGGGCCCAGGCCTCCGACAAAGGGGGCTCTCCCTGGGCAGCACACGGCGGAGTTGAAGGCAGGTCCTCTCCAGGCTGCGGCAGGCAGGCCTTCTCCTGGGCATCGCTCGGACGTCCATTCCCTGTGTTTTTGTTCGGTTTCGTGCGTGGTTTTTTCGCCAAATGATCAAGGATGCTCCTCGATGGTCCTCGCCGAAGGAAACATGCACACGTCCGAGCGATGCCAAGTCTCCAGGCTGGGTGCTCGAAACGATTCCTGGGATGTGGCCCTCAAGTACGATGGGCGCAACACAAATAGGGGAACCAAAAGTGGCATAAACATACAAACTCCAGGCCGCGGCAGGCAGGTCTTCTCCAGGCGGGGTGCTCGACACGACTTCTGGGATGTGGCCCTGAAGTGCGATGGGAGCAACACAACGAGGGGAACAACAAGTGGCATAAACATAACAACTCGGAGGTCCGCGCGGATTTCTCGGATCGGCGCTGGGGCCCCCCGGCGGCGCCTCCGGCGCCGCCCCTGGCGCGCTCCGCGCGCCAGGGAGGGGGGTCCACGCCGATCGGAGAAATCCGCGCGGACCTCCGAGTTGTTTTTGTTTATGTCACTGTTTGTTCCGCTAGTTATGTTGCTCCCATCGTACTCAAGGACCACATCCCGAAAGACATGTCGAGCACCCAGAAAAGTGTCGAAAGAGTGCCGGAAGAGCGTCGACAGAGGGCCTCCCAGGGCCCGACACGTGAAAACCCTCGATTTGGGGGGTGTTTTCCTGGTGCTCGAAATTCATTCTGGTGATCAAGGCTAAAGTAGGTGAGGAGGAGGAGGAGGAGGAGGAGGAGGAGGAGGAGGAGGAGGGAGAGGAGGAGGAGGAGGGAGGAGGAGGAGTGAAGAGGGAGGAGGAGGAGGAGGAGGAGGAGGAGGAGGAGGAGGAGCGAGGAGGAGGGAGGAGGAGGAGGAGGAGGGTCGGCCCAGGGCGCCCTCTGGCAACACGTGGATGCGCCATCGGGGCAGCTGGGAGTCTGCCAGAGCCGATCGTGCGGGCCGGCATAGGGAGCTCTTGCACGCCCGATGGGAGGAGGGGAAGGCGCGCCTGGAGTCTGACTACCTACCAGACCACCCCAACCCAACCCGAAGACCCGAATTTCGGGTTGGGGGGGGGGGTATGGGCTCCAGATGTGTTTTTTCGATGTTCCCGGACCCCCCCCCGAACTAGAAATCGAGGGGAAATCCGAGCCTTCGGGTTGGGTTGGGGTGGTTTGGTGGGTGGGGAGAGTCTGACGCCCCGGCCACCCCACCCGATCCTGAGTGCTCAGGGTCTGCGGCAAGATGGCTCCACGGGAAGTGAAGGACGAGGAGGGGGGGCGGGGACAAGGAGGTGCAGGAGAAGCGCAAAGTACAGCCCGATCTTGGACAAATAACATCCTTCAAGAGCATGAGACACTCCACCGGCCAAACTAAAGAGCATTCGAGGGTACCCTTACCCAGGACGGAAAAGAACATCCAGCAAACACGAAGAACAGTTGTTTGAAACAGAAGGGAAGGGAACACGCGAAGCACCAACCAACGACCCCAGCACGATGTCTCCACAGTCAGGCTGCCAATTGCCACGTGCACTCACCCACGTTCTACCCGGCAGGCCCGAATGAAAAACCCTGAACTGGGGCAGGGCACATGCCGATGTCCTGAAATCGGTGCACGGACATCCCGCAGGTCTAGGACGAGGGTTAAAAGGAGGAGATGAGGAAGAGGAGGAGGAGAAAGATGAGGAGGAAGAGGAACAATGGCGTTGTGCGTGCATCCCCCATGGTCCAGACGACCACTCAATAACCGGGCTCGACACAGCGACAACCGAAGAGAAGCCTGGCACTGCCCGCCTTTTCAGACGCCCTGCCGATCGCAAGTGAGAGAGACATGCCCTGGAACCGACCACGCCGACGGCGGGAAAAAGGAGGAGGAGGAGGAGGGGGATGAGGAGGAGGAGGAAGAGGAGGAGAAGGAGGAGGAGGAGGGGAAGGAGGGGGAAGACGAGGGGGAGGGGGAGGCAGGGGAGGAGGCGGAGGAGGAGGAGGAGGAGGAGGAGGAGGAGGAGGAAGGAGGAAAAGGAGGAGGAGGAGGGGAGGATGGGCAGGAGACCGAACGGAAAAAGAGGAAACGCTGGGCGCGTGCACTCGCCAGCTCGAGATCCAGTTCCATGCCGTGGCCGGGCACTGCGGCGCCCGGCCAGGCCCGGAGCCGCTCCGCGGCGGCTGGCGCGCGAGCCCGGGCCGAGCAGACAGGCCGGAGTCGGCCCGCGTGACGTCGGGCGTGTCCCCCTAAAGGGGGAGCTTCCACGAAAAATAAAAGATACTACAAAGATACGTTAGGTTCGCGTCGTGCCGACTTCGGCGCTGGTTTCTGACACCGCGGGGATCGTTCAGCCTTGAACGATCGGCCGTTTCCGAAACGTCTAAATCGTTTTGCATCGAGCGATTTTGGGTCGCTCGCGGCGTTCAACGTTGAACGCCGCTGGCGGGGTCGCCGCCGGTCGACACGGCACGAACCTACCGTACCCCCAAATGGTCAAAAAGTATTCAAAAAATTGTCCCCTGACGATCTTTTGACTGTGTTTGAAGATTCCCCCTGTAGAGGCACAGGCCCGACTTCAGGCCGGCAGCGCCTGCAGTGCCGTTTGCGTTTGCGCGTGGCACACAGACCATGACAGACATTCGGGGCCGGAGGGGGGAGGGCAGGCGGAGGAGGCCGAGAACGAGGGAGGGGAGCGGAGGATCATCGCCCTCGCCGAGCGTCGCGGGAGAAACCGTGCCCTCCAGCCCACCAGGACACAGTGGCACTGGGAGAAGAAGAGCCAGACTGCCCAAGCTCACGACGCGCTCCCAACTTCGCGTTCCGCGCTGCGCGAGGCGCGAGGTGCGAATAACCTCGCGCTCTCGCGCCGCCTCCCAGGGGAGAAGAGGAGGATGAGGAGGAACCGGAGCCGAACCGCGAAGCGCGAGTAACTTCGCGCCCTCGCGGGCGCCCTTGGAGAGGAAGGGAAGGGACGAAGGGAGGAGGGAAGGAGGGCGGTTGTGCGTTCCTGTTGAGCGTCCTGGGCCTAAACGGCCTCCTCTGCCTCGGACGCCCCCTCGCAGGGAGGCCACAAGCCCCAAGACGGCAAGGGGTCGCCGTTGACGACGGCAACGACGACGCTGACGACGACGACGACGACAACCACGACGATGACGACGACGACGACGACCACGACGAGGACGACGGCAACGACGACGCTGATGACGACGACGACGACGACGATCACGACGATCACGACGAGGACGACGAGGACGACGAGGACGACGACGACGACCACGAGGACGACGACGACGACGACCCCGACGACCACGACGAGGACGACAACGACGAGGACAACGACGACCACGACGACGACGACGACGACGACGACGACGACGACGACGACGACGACGACGGCGACGACGACGACGACGACGACGACGACGACGACGACGACGGCGACGACGACGACGACGACGGCGGCGGCGGCGGCGGCGGCGGAGGGGGCGGGAGGAGAGGCGGGAGGGGACCGCAGCAGCAGGCGCAGGAGGAGGGGAAGAGAGGCGACGGACAGGGGTGGGGGAAGGTCGGCCCCCTGCCCCGGGGCGGCGGGCGGACACAGCGAAGCCCCCCCCAACAGACCCGCGCCCCGCTCCAGACGAGCGCCCTGGGCCTCAGCGGCCTCACCTGTCCAGCCAGGTGGGCTCCACAGAGCGGCATCCCGATGCGGAAGAGGCGGCGGGGAGATGGGAGGAGGGCGCAAGTGCGCTTGAGACGGGCGTCCTGTGCCTCGGCCTCTCTGGCCCAGCAGGCTTGGAGCCACCAAGCGGCACCGCGACTTGGAGGAGGAGGAAGGGCGGAGGCGGAAACAGGGAGAGAGGGAAGGAAGAGGGAAAAGGGAACGCAACAGGGAGCCTCAGAAACTCAGCGTTGCCACCCTTCCGGCGCCGCGACGTACACGTTGCACGTGCACCGGTGGCATCTGACGACTTCACGGCAAGCCCGCTGGAGTGCCTCCTTCGCGGCATGGCCCTTCCTCAGCGCCATGCGCCGGCAATGGCAGCGCACGCCGCACATGGCCGCCAGCTGACTGCCGCGTAACACGACCGCCCGTTCCTCCGAGCTCGGCCCGATATCGCGGTCAAAGAAACTTGCCGATCAGTCTGCCGGGCTGCTGGCCCGTCGCAGGCCGAACTCCCTCGCGACGATCGGATGGCCGGCCTGGCAGTTGGTGTACATGCTCGCTGTTGTCCTCTGCGTTGGGCGGGCAATCGAGCATACGTCCTGGCAAACCAACCCTGTACTGCGGAATCTGCACCCGAACCAGCTTGTGCCGCAGCCGCGGCACCAGGGCCGCCGTGCGAGGTGAGCATCTCCGCCGCTGTCCGTTGGAACCCCGCCGGAGGCGCCGGTCGAGATGCTTCGGCAGTGGTCGTGCAGCGGCGTCCGCCCCCAGGAACTGCCGTGCCACCTGGCCTGCCCAGCCTGCCGTGACGCCCTCCGTCCGACGCCGATGGAGACTTTTATCCACTTGCAGCAAGTATGACCTGTCGGACCACCCTGCCCGTGCGGCAACGATCTGCAAGAGTGTCCGTGTCCCGGCGGCCTCGCCGGAGAGCGTCGGCGCGGAGGCCTCCGACAACCCCCTGCGGGCGGCGCCGTGTGTGGACGGCACCACCGGCTCCACGGACTTTCACCGGCGCGGGGACAGCACCCCGGGGCCACTGGCCCAGATTCTATGTGCGAAGTACCGCAGAGCCGCTACCGCGGCAAGATGCGCTCACAGGAGCACGAGAAGCAACATCTCGAAGCGCACCCGGACGTGCCATCCGAAGTACCTCTTGAGAGAGGTGCCGAGAAGTGCTGCAGGCAGCCCAGCTGGCCGTCACAGCTGCAGGCTGACGCTGCAGGCATCCAGAAGCCCGACCCTGCCGTCGACACCCAGCCATGCCGCACATCGGCGACTACATCAAGCCCTTCGAGAAGGGGACGCGTTTGTCCGTGTTGTACTGCCCACATCGTTCCTCTTCTCCAAGATCTGTGCTTTTACGTTTTGGCTTTTCGTTGACTAGCACGAAATGCCGTATGTGACGCCTCGTGGACTGGGGGAGCTCTTCCCGAGGTTCGGCGAGCATCGGCTCCAAACGAAACCCTGCAGCGTGTCCGCGGCACCACTCTCCCTGGACGAACGCGACGGACGGTCGGTACAGAGCTCGGTGCTGTGGGCAACACCCGGGAGGGGGGCGCTGTCCTTCGGGAACGCTGCGGCGGAAGGCGTCTGATCTACGGTCTTTGGGCTGAAAGTTGACCTTGTTCGTTTGAGTTTGTTTGACCTTGTGAGCTTTTTTTCAGGTGCCACGACATAGCGAAACTTTTCGCAGCCAGGCGATGGCGGTTGAACCAGGTTCCGGCATGCGATACCAACGAAGCCAGCGACACGGACCGCGACGCCTTGGGTGCAGGGGGTCGGCGCTTCCCCATTCGTGTTCGCTCTCCTCTACGCGGACTATCTCGCGGACCATCTGAGTCCTTTCTCCAAGCCTAGATGGTTGAGGGCCGCGAGGTTCTGAACCAGGCCTGGAATGTTCGAGCGACTTTGTCACGACGTTCTCTTTTGGCGACTCGTTCTTCCTCATACTCTCCATGTTCACGTTCCTCCAGGAGTAGGAGCCGTGGGACGCCGTGTCCCGTGCAGTTACGAGGAGGAGGAGGAGGGAGGAGGAATGGGAGGAGAACGAGGAGGAGGAGGAGGAGGAGGTGCACGATGGACAAGTCGTGAGGCCTCCGGCAACTCTGCTCTCAGTGGTGGCGGCGCGAAGCTGCGCCGCCCGGCACCGTACAGAACGATCGTCAGATCCTCGCGGGAGGTCAAGGGCGCGAGGTTCCCGGAGGTCGTCGGGGCATGCCCACTGGCTGGAGCCAGGCACCAGGAGACGGAAGGTTTCCGTCTCGACTGTCGACCAGCGCGGGGGCAGGGCATCAAGCTGCATGAGAAGGCCCAGCACAGCAGTGACGTGCACTGTGCAAGCGGGCGCCGTCAAGAACAAGCCCCGCGGCGACCCAACGGGCGGCGCGACCGAGAACCTTCGCAAGAGCTTTGTCGTAGGCCTGGGGACCCCGCTCAGGGCCGAGGATGAAGCCGAGGTATAGCGGGCGCTCCCCAGCGATCCACACGGCTCCCCACCCGGGGTGAGCCGCCTGCAACGCGCGCAGTGGGTCTGCCCAGTCGCCGCGGAACAGCGGCACCACGACCGTCTTCGGCAAGTTCCGTCAACACGAAGAACATCAGGATACCCTGCCTGCGCCGACCTCGATCTTATACCTCGGTCCGACTGTACGAGATAAGCTCGTCCTGGTCGGGGGCCTCACCGAAGCGGATGCACGGCCAGCGGGGGGCGCGCCTACCGGTGAAGGCGCCCATCATCAAAGCAGGCGGGCGGGGAAGGAGGAGGAGGGCGGGCCACCATGAGCGCGTCCTGCCACCGAACACGCCCCGGGAACCGAACGATCACGAAACATTGCGCGCCGAACGCGACGAGGCGAAGGAGGAGAAGGAGGAGGGAGGAAGGGAGGCTGTGTCCAGTAGGTGGCGCTCTTCGTGGCTACGGACCCGGGACCACGATCCCAACGTCCGGGGGTCCTCCTCCTCCTCCTCCTCCTCCTCCTCCTCCGCCTCCTCCTCCTCCTCCTCCTCCTCCTCCTCCTCCTCCTCCTCCTCCTCCTCCTCCTCCTCCTCCCCATTGGGGGTGCGGACCCACTCGGGTGCCACCGGGCTGTGCAGGGAGGAAGGAAAACAGGAAGGGAGGCGAGCGCGGAGAGGGAGGCGAGAAGGGCAAAGGAAGAGGGAGTGAGCGAGGAGGAGGGAGGGGGGGGGGGGGAGGGGAGAGAGGGAGGGGGGAGGGGGGGGAGGGGGGAGGGCGGGGAAGGAGGCGGGGGAGGCGCAGAAAGGGAGGGGAGGGGGCGCGGAGGGAGGCGAAGGAAGGAAGGCGAGGAGGGATGGGGTAGGGCGACGAGGGAGGCGAAGGACGAAGCGCGAGGAGAGAGGTGGAGGGCGAGGAGGGAGGACGCGCCCGGCGCCTCGAGGGCGGCGACCACCGCGGGCCGGGCGAAACCCAGGGCGACGAGCGCCTCCTGGCCGGCGGCGAGTCCCCCGCGGGCGCCCCCGGCGGCCTCGTCTTCGGCGTCGTCCTCGTCGTCGTCGTCGCCGTGGTCGTGGACGTGGTCGTGGTCGTGGTCGTGGTCGTGGTCGTGGTCGTGGTCGTGGTCGTGGCCGTGGTCGTGGTCGTGGTCGTGGTCGTGGTCGTGGTCGTCGTCGTGGAAGCCCCGTTCTTGACCACAAGAGAGCGCACCCTGCAGATTGCTTCGATCACGTGGAACACATGCGGCGGCACGCGGAGTGAAGCCGACCTGCGGGCAGGAGTCCTTCTGGCCGAATGCGCTCAAGAGCTCTGCCCCAATCCAACAGTAAGAGCAGCAGCGAACCATCCTTGTCCTCCAAGGCCGCATCGACCATCCGCCCTGCCAAGAAGAGAGCGCCACTCGCCCCGCGAGTTGGTCGGAATCCTTTTTTGTGAATCCCGTATTGCCTTGTCTGCTCCTACATGTTTGAATCCTCTTTCACGCATGAGGCTGATGTTCATGCTTTGTCTTCGAGGTCCAACCCGGCACGTTCTCGAGCCCACTGCTCGACCAGAGTCTCTGCGTACTTCTCTGCAGTCCCAGGGCAAAGCAAAGTTTTCAAATCTCATTTTGGTGGCGGCGTCGGACGTTCTATGTTTCTAAGCTGGTTCCCAAGTCCACCGCATGTGCAACATGATGTGGCCGTAATTGCCTGCCGCGGTCGTTCCAGACGTCTGCGGCGCAAGATGTTCAAGAGTTGGCATCAACCACGTGATCGAGTTGTTCGAACCTGCCTGGCACGATCGGTCCCGATGGCTTTACACCCAAATCGTAATAAGTTGGATCCCAATCGTTGGAGGCCGTGTTTCTTGCTTCGCAAAGCTCGATCAACAACGCTGGGTTCGACGTGGGATCCCACTTTCCACGAGGACGCTGGAAAACATGCTCTCTCAGTAAATGCCCTTCCCAAGGAAGTCGGCGCAAGAGCCTCGCGTAGAAGACGCCGAAATAGACTAGGCCCACGGACGATCTGTAACATGTCGAGCCTGACGACGTGAACGTGCTCGGTGGTCCACGCGCACGCCGCGACAAGCGTGAACGAACAGCTGCGACCCGCAAGCGAATGCAAGCTTTTCTGTGGCCTTGTTGCCGGTAACAACTGATGGATTGTTGAGCCCAAGGAGCCACAATAAATCCTACTCCTGCGTACTCTCATCCGTCCCCTGCGGCGCCTGATTAAACAACGAAGTGCCCCTCAAATTCAAAGACTGGCAACCTCCGCAATGTGCCTCTTGAAGACGTCATACCGCTGTGACCATGTGTCGCATGGGCCGCACTAGTTCGTAACAGTTCGCCGTACTGTCCAAACGAATGCCTTCGACACGCCAGGACGCAATGCGACTGCATGTCACAGGCCAGCATGGGTGCGTAACCAATTTGCTGAATGGTGTGACGCCGTTGCCACAACACCACTGCCCCGTCGCGTCTCCTACTTGGTAGTGCCACCAGCTCTCCCACCCTTCTTGCCCCTCCCGCTCCTGTTTCGCAGCCGCCAGGCGAAGTGTTTCGTTGGACTATGTTTTGATTCTTGTTTTGACCTGTTTGGGGTATCTGTTGCATTTTTCGTCGATAATCCCCCTGTAGGGGGACAGGCCCGACATAAGCGGCCTGGGGGCTCCCGCCATGGCCCAGGCCCCGGACATGGACCACGCACCGGGCATGCAGCTCGGTCTCGCCACAGTAGAGGACTGGCCATGCACCACAGGCGGTGCTGCACCGAGACCTCGCCGGGACCCTGCTCCGACTCCGCGAAACTACACGGATGCGTGCGGTGGGAAGGGAGGGCAGGAGGGCTGGACGTCGGATGCGGCGCAAGCGCGCCAAGCTTGCCCCTCTCCACTCTCGCCCACCTCCGATCTCCCTCTCCTGCCCCTCCCCTTGCTGCATCCTCTTGCCTCTCGCCTCTCACCCCTGCCCTTCCCCTACCCCTCCCTCCCTCTCCCGCTCCCTCCCTCTCCCTCCTCTCCCCTCCCCCTCCTACGGCGTGCAAGCGCGCGAGGCCCCTCGGCTAACAACAAGAACCTCTTCCTCCCGCCTTGCTCCCCCTCTCGCCCCCTCCCTGTCTCTCTGTCCCCTCCCCTCCCACTGTGGCCAGCGAAGCGGAGGATCCCGCCTCAGGAGACTCCAGAGCATCTTCGGTGACCACCGCCTCAGTCGCCTTTTGCTCCTGCGCATGTGGGAGGACGCCAGCTGCGCTCCGTTATCAGGAGGGCATCGTCGTCGTCGTCTTCCTCCTCCTCCTCCTCCTCCTCCTCCTCCTCCTCTTCCTCCTCCTCCCCCATACCCCTCTCCTCCTCCTCCTCCTCCTCCTCCTCCTCCCACATACCCCTCCTCTCCTCCTCCTCCCCCCCTCCTCCTCTTCCTCCTCCTCCTCCTCCTCCTCCTCCTCCTGCCCTTCAGAGGGGCACGGTGCCGCATCCTGGCGCCAGCGCCACCCAACGCAAAGGGCTCACTGCCACCGGGAGTCGATGCGTGGGTGTGGGGGCCAAGCAGGCGGCCGCTCTCTTGCCGCGGTGGCGGGCTCGACTCCCTCGCACCATGGCGCCCGTGCGTGGGTGCGGCACACGTTTGCCCCCCTGGGTCTGCGGAGCTGGCCCCGCAGCAGCAGGGCTGGCGCAGCGGGGAGGGAAGGAATCCGGGCCTGCATCGTCTCCAGAGGTGCGTGTTTCGTTGCAGACCCCCTCGCGTCGTGAACAAAATCACGACGGGAGATTCCTGAGCGATTCAGGATAAAAAAACAGTCCCGGGGAAGGGGTCCACAGCACCACCGGAGGCGGTACACCACCTCGGGGAAGGTGGCCGCAGATGGGCAGGGCGTCAAGCTCTTGTCCTGTCCCAGCGCACCTTTTCGTCTTGGTGCACCCTTCGGTTGTCGTTTGCACATGCTCCGAACATGCTCCTCCTCCTCCTCCCCCTCCCCCTCCTCCTCCTCCTCCTCCTCCTCCTCCTCCTCCTCCTCCTCCTCCTCCTCCTTCTGCGTCGGGTCAAGTTTCAGCTGAAGCGTACCAAGGCTGGCAAGCACCCGCGGTCGAGCCACTACCACGCATCTGGCATTGAGCTGCTCCCGCAGCCTCAGTGAGGTTCAGAGGGGCCTGATGCAAGCTCTGGAGGAGGAGGAGGAGGAGGAGGAGGAGGAAGAGGAGGAGGATCGGGAGGATGGGAGGAGGATGGGGAGGATGGGGAGGAGCGAGCGGAGGAGGAGGAGGAGGCGGAGGAGGAGGAGGATGGAGGAGGAGGATGGGGAGGGGATGAGGAGGATGGGAGGAGTGAGGATGGATAGGAGGGGGAGGAGGAGGAGGAGGAGGAGGAGGAGGAGGAGGAGGAGGAGGATGGGGAGGATGGGGAGGAGGAGGCGGAGGAGGAGGAGGCTCCCTCCTCCGCCCCCAAGTGAGGCGCCGGGCCGCTGGCCTTGCTTCCCGCAAGGGGTCCTGCTGGCGTTCGGCCTCCGGGAGGAGGGCGACGAAGACCCTGGTCAGGGCCCTCGGCGAGGACGCCAGGAAGGCCCCCCAAGATCCCGAGGACGCCTCGGACTCGGAGGGCGAGGATTATGTTATTCCCGTCGTACTTAAGGACCACATCCCAGGAACAACTTCGAGCACCCAGAAAAGTGTCGAAAAAGTGTCGAAAGAGTGTCGAAACAGTGTCGACAGAGTGTCTCCCAGGGCCCAGCACGTGAAAACCCCTGATTGTTGGTGTGTTTTCTAGGTGCTCGAAATTCACTCTGGTGATCAAGCTAAAGTAGGTTGGAACATCATTATTTTAGACTGTTCCTTGACTTTCGATTGCCCCACAGAAGCAACAACCGCAACAACAACAGCAACAGCAGCAGCAGCAACAAACAACAACCCCAACCACATCCACAACAACACCAACAACAACAACCACAACAACAGCAACAGCAACAACAACAGCAACAACAACATCGACAACCACAACAACAGCAGCAGCAACAACAGCAAAGACAACCACCCTAACAACAACAGCAACAACAACAATCATTTTAAGACTGTTCGCACTTATCGGCTCGAGTGTCCAATAACGCGTATCTCCAAAACCCTCGATACCCGCTCTCATCGTCTTCGATCGAACCCCTTGTGGGGGGTATACCTTTCTTCCCTGCAGGCCGGGCCCCAGCAAGCGGCGGGGCGGCCGCGGACCGTCGGCCTGGCCACCGGCAGCGCTGATCGGCGGGGCGGCCGCGGACCGTCGATCCGACCCCAAGAGGGACGGACAGGGGACCGACCACGACGACGACGACGACGACGTGGACGACGACGGCGACGACGACGACGGCGACGACGAGCGAACGCGAGAGCGAGAGAGAACGACAGCAGGGCCACGAAGGACACGAACTAGGCCACGAAAGGCGACAGCGGGGACACGAATGAAATGCGAATGGAGCCACGAAGAGCGCGAACGAGCGGGGGCCACGAAGGGCAGATAATGCGGGGCCACAAAAGGCAACGATGGGGCCACTGAGGGTAGCAACTGGGCCTCTAAGAACAGTGAGGGGGCCACAAACGGCGACAGCGGGGCCACGAAAGGCATGCACATGGGGCCACAACGGGCGCGACTCCTGGGTGCATGGGTGTCGGGAGCGTGGCGCTTGAGCAAATTGCAAGAAATTCCAACGCAAGGGCGCTATTCTTCCGTAGATTGCAAGAAAATCTCCAGCGAGAGCGCGACTCCAGAGCGCCGGGAGAGCGATTCCTAAATAAATTGTCAGGAAAGCCCACGCGAAAGCCCGATTCCTGATTAAAATGCGAGGAAGTCTCGGGCGTCAGCGGGGGTCATGGCTAAATTGCGAGGAATTCTCAGGCGGGAGCCGTTGTTGTTGTAACCCGGGGGCCAGGGGCCCAGTTTGAGCATCAAGACTTCCCCTGTCAAAAAACAGGGTGCGAGCGTCGAGGGGCGCACTTTGATTTAGAAAAACAATATGCACCGGTGGGGAGGGATCAGCAATAGTGATTTTTCAGAAATGAGAGTTCAACACCACCAACAACAACAACCACAACAACGACAACGACAACAATAACGACAACGACAACCACAGCAACAGCACCAACAACGACAACAACAGCAACAACTACAATCATCTGCATACTGTTCGCTCTGACCTACTCGCGTGCCGTTCAACATGTATATCGTAAACCGTGGGTGCCTGCCCTCTTCGTTTTCGATCGTACTCCCCTTGGGGTATATCTGCCTTGCTGCCGCATGTAGCCGGTGCGGCCCCGGAAACAGGGGAAGGGAGGACGGATGGAAGAGACATGGAAAAAAGGTGGAACGCGGGATTAGCAGCATTGGGACTAGGAGCTGAAAAGCATGTAGCAGAACTAGACGGGCCCATCGGGTGGGTAGACCCTAACGGGCGGGTCGGGCAGGCGGGCCCAAGCTGCCAGGTCGAGAAGGCGCGTTGCTGAAGCGTGAACACTGCATGAATCGCGAAGAGAGGTCGAACAAGACCGCGACTATCCCAAAAAAAAAAAAAAAAGCGTGAGAAAAAGGCAAAAACGAGAGCGTGTTTCCTGAATGTCGAGGGCGCGGCGTCTGAATACAATGCGAGGAACTCCCACGCGAGAGCGCGACTCCAACATAACTTGTGATGAAGTCCCGCGCGAAAGCGCGATTTGGAAATAAACGGTGAGGAAATATCAAGCGGGAGCCGCTGTTGTTGTAAAACGGGTTTCAGCAACACCGTTTGGTGTCACCACGCTTTCCTTTATAACCAAAAACAGAGCGCGAACCCCGAGGAATTGAAGCATACAATGGTTACAGGAAGGGGGGAAAACAACAAAAACTCAGGAATTCGAATTCAACCACAACAACGACGACAACGTCAACGACAACGACATGACCAACAACAACCACCACAACAACAATCAATTTACCCGAATGCTCTATTATCCGATGTGCTGCATACATCCGTCATGATAGCTCCCCCCATCAAGGGGAACTTCTCCTGCACACGGGGGTCCGATATTCCTTTGCCCAGATCTCCCGCCCGACGAGGGATTGACAACACCTCTTCCGAGGCACCTCAACATCTCCAGCCTGGATGGCACATCGCCTTCGCAATCGCCCTGCCCACGTCTTGCTTCTAAGTGTCACCACGCCCGAGAGCTCAAAACCCCCTGGGAGGGGCCCCACAACCTCTGGGGAAGTCCCAAGAGCCCCTTGGACAGCCTCTGGAAACCCTTGGAAAAAAACTCCAGAGCCTCTCAGAAAAGCTTCAGAACGCTCGTAAGAAACATGAGGGCGCCTGAGAAACTGAACTGGAGGATTTCGGGGCATCTCAAAGGAGGCCTCAAGGCAGTTCTAGGATATGCTCAGATCGGCGAAGCTCCTGAACCTCGGGGAAGGAAGAAGAGGAGGGAGCAGGAGGAGGAGGAGGATGGGGAAGGAGGGAGAACGACTAGAGGGGAGGACAAAGAGGAGGAGGAGAAGGAGGAGGAGGAGAAAGAGGAGGAGGAGGAGGAGGAGAACGACGACGACGACGAGGACGACGGGGCCGCCGCCGCAGGCGCTCGGGCAGCGCCTGGCACGCGGAGGGCGCCAGGGAGGCACTGGTGCAGACATGGGACAGTGCATGCTGCATTTTTTGAGGATCGGCACTACTGGGATGACCGTGGGGGGTCCTAAGTGGATAGGGGGGTTACAAGTGGATGCCAAGGAGGCTTATATCTGGCCCAACCTGGCTTATCAGTGGGTGACAAGTGCCATAAGTAGCTTAGGGGGGTTAACGATCTGGGCTGGGTGGGCTCCGCCCACTTAGCCGAGTTATCGGCCCCTCCTAAGCTACTTAGGGAACTTGTAACCCACTTATAAGCCAGGTTGGGCCAGATATAACCCACCTTGGCATCCACTTGTAACCCCCCTATCCACTTAGGACCCCCCGCGGTCATCCCAGTAGGGACTAAGGAAGCCCCGGAGCCTCTTGGAATCTTGAATACGAGGAAACATCGAGCGGGAGCGTCGCTGTTTGCATGGTTGCAGGAAGGGCCGTCTGCGGCGCCGAGGCGAGAGCGCTGGTCCGGAGTACAAGGGCAAGGAAGCATCGAGGGGAGCGCCGGTGTTGTTGGAAAGCCGGCTTTTTCGGCGGCGAGCAAAAGCCCCGGTCCCGAATAGGATAGGAGGAGGAGGAGGAGGAGGAGGAGGGGGAAGTATCGAGCGGGAGCGCTGTTGCTGTTGGGGGGCCGCCTCTGGCGCAGCCCAGAAACGCACGAGCGCGAGCTCAATCGTCCAAGCCGAAATGCAGCCGGCGCCGAGGCGAGAGCGCCGGTGCGGATGCAGGGTGTGTCACAGTAGCAGTTCTCAAGCAGAGAAGGTCCAACATGGACCAGGGAAGTCTCGAGGCATCCAGGAGTCTTGAATAAAACATCGGAGGGGGTGCCGAACGGGAGCGTCGTTGTTTGCAGGGCGCGCCGCTTGCGGCCTGGGTTTAACATAAAAAACAATATATATATATATATATATACACACACATATGGTATATATACATATATATATATAGATATAACTGCAAAAACCGAGCGGGAGCGCCGGTCTTGTTGGGAAGCCAGCTTTCGGCGGCGAGCAAGAGCCCCGTCCCGGAGGAAGCATCGAGCGGGAACGTTGGTGCTGTGGGGGGGCCGGTTTGGGCGCACCCCCGAAACGCCTGTGCGTGAGCTTCAAATTCAAAAACATGCGGCGGGCAACGAGGCGAGAGCGCCAGAGCGCTTCCAGAGGGTCCCACAATAATAACTGTTTAGTAGTTCAGAAACAACAACAACAACTACAACAACAATAACGACAATTAATGTGGGATGACGATTAAGAAAAAAGGAGGGGGGAACGATTAAAAAAATAGTTTCCGACACCGGGGGGAACGCTCAGAAGCAGGGCTCGCCTGTGCGGTGTTTCGTCACCGGGGGGGGCGCGCGCCCGAGGACGGCGGGGGGGGGACGATTTAAAAAAAAGTGTCCCAGCCCGGGGCCGGTTTTTTCTAATCATCATCCCGGGCGCCGCCGCGTGAACACGACCCCCGGTCATTCTTTAACCATCATCCTCCATTACAATAACACCACCCAACAACAATCATTTTAAGACTGTTTGCTCTTACTGGCACGCGTGTGTTGCCTTCTGTATACCCCAACCCTCGATACCCGCCCAGTTCGTCTTCGATTGCACCCACTTTCGGGGGGAATCTCTTCCTCGTCGGACACTGAGAGAAGTGCGAAGAAGTCTCGAGCGAGAGCGCCGTTCCTGAATTCGGGGGCCTTTCTGGCCAAGGGCTCTCGGAATACCTATGGAGAATTATCGAACGGGAGCCCATGTCGCCGTGTCAGGGCCTCCACCAACTTGCCTGAATTACGGGAAAGTCTCGAGCGAGAGCGCCGTTCCTGAGTTCGGGGGCCTTCTTGGCCAGGGGCTCTCGGAGTAAATCGTGAGAGAGTATCGAGCATGAGCCCTTGTCGTCGTGGCTGGGCCTCCGCCAACTTAATTAAATTGCGAGGAAGTCTCTCTCTCGAGAGAGAGAGAGAGAGGAACAAAAAAAAAAAGAAAGAAAGAAAGAGAGAAAGAGAGAGAGAGCGCCGTTCCTGAGTTCGGGGGCCTCTCTGGCCAGGGTGTCTCGGGGAAAATTGTGAGGAAGTATCGAGCGGGAGCCGTTGTTGTCGCCGCTGGGCCTCCAAGGACCCACATTTGGGGTCAAGCCAACGCTCGAGCGGGAGCCTCGCTTCCAGAGAAAATGTAACTGGCCTCGAGGCGAGAGCGCGCGGAACCGCTGCCGGAGATCAAGAATAATTATTCTTTAGAAATTCAAGTTCCTCCTCCTCCTCATCATCATCATCCTCCTTTGATCCCTCGTCTCTCTCACGCCTTCCGAAGTGTCTCGGGCGGATAAGATTTCCCTCCCTCTCTCTCTGTCCATCTAGGTTTCCCTCTGGCCACCTATCTCTATAGCCCTCTCCCCATCTCCATCTATCTATGAGATGCCGCTCCCTCTCTCTCTCTGTCTCTTTTTCCATATATATATATATATATGTCCCTCCCTCTCTCTCTCTCGATATATATCCATCTATCTCTATATATATATATATATCCCTCCCTCTTCTCCCTATCATCCGTATCCATATCTCTACACATACAGATATATGCCACCGCATTGTCTCATCGACCGGCACCAGCATGGGAAGCACTCGCACAGCTCAGCACGCTCTGTGCTGCAGAAGACACAGCTTGGGATCCGAGCTCAGGTTGTTCGACACCATTGTCACGCACGCATGATGCCCTGTACCGGTCCGCCGCGTGGGGCGCCAAGAAGGAGACCTGAAGCCCCATCCCACGACTTCGCATGCTGCCGCATGCTTCGACCAAATACGTACACCCCGGGCGGCAGAAGACCGAAATAGCTTTTTCGGGTGGCCAGAGAGAACGCTGTAATAGAGATAATGAAATAATGCCCTGACTCTTTTGTGAACCACAGACAGAGAAGCAGGCAGAACGATGCAGCCTTAAAACCTCCAAATCCAAAAGCGAAGTGCCCCTGACCCGAACGAGGAGGAGGCTCAAACGCGACTCAGCAGAGTCAACACTCAAACCTTCCTGCCGCTCGAGAGCGGCGCAGCCGAGTATCCCAGCGGGGAGCGGAGGAGAAAATCGTGCCCAAACTCTAGAACTTTTCGGAGGCAACTATACGCTGTGGACAATGCCGGGCCGAATCTAGTCTGGGCATTGTCTGGTTCCCAAAGTAACGCTTGCACTTATAGGGTTCGTGGTTGTGTTCCAAAAAAAAATGGCCCTCAAGATCGGTTTGGCGGCTATGTAGCCGCCGTCGCCGCCCCGTCGCCGCCTCGTCACCGCCCGTCGTCTGGGCCTGAAGGTCGGTCTGGCGGCTGTGTAGCCACAGTCGCCGCACCGTCGCCGCCTCATCAGCGCCCGTCGTCTGGGCCGGCATGCCGGTCAGGCAGCTCCGTGCTCGCCGTCGCCGCACCGTCGCCGCCTCGTCGCCGCACCACAATAATTCTCCTTTCTAAAAAGAGAATAGACTCTACCCCCACCCCCCCGGACTTATCGATACCCCCTGGGATAGTATGATTATATATAGATATATGTATATATACATATATATATATATATATATATATATATTCAGCACACTCGTCCATCCTAAATATGAAATCATTTCATCCCAGCCAAACCGGGTTCCCCCCCTGAGTTCCCTTGTAAAAAACACTATGCAGTGACATGTGTTGTTCTAACATAGCACTTCTTCCACAAATCCCTTGCGAAAAAAGGACGAAGTGCACACGCGCGCGTCGTCGCGCGCGCATGCCGAAATCCTTCAAAAACCTTCGGTGCCGGAAGGATTTCGCAATCGAGTTTCCAAACAACATACAAAAACACATGGTTTCGCAACACTGACTTGCAAAAAAAGCTTCCGCGCGAGCTCTTGCAAAAAAACAGGTTTTTCCAGATTCTCACTCACTGATACCAAACAGGCTTCGCGCGCGCGCATGTCGAAATCTGTCGAACGCCCTTGCGCGTGTGCCGTCGCGAGAATCCTCTGCAAAAAATATGACGAAGTGCAGACGCGCGCGTCGTCGCGGCCGTATGCCGAAAACCTTCAAAACCCATCGGTTTCGGAAGGATTTTTAAATCGTGCGTCCAAAAAACCTACAGAAACCGAAGGTCTCGCAACACGGATTTTCAACAAAAGCGTGCGCGCGAGCGCTCTTGCGTCGTCGTCGTCGTCGTCGCCGTCCTCCCTCCTCCCGCGTCGTCGTCGTCGTCGCCTACGTCGTCCTCTATCTTTTCTCGTGTTCGTCGTCGTCGTCCTCTTTGGCGTCGTGGTCGTTTCCGTCGTCGTTGTCGCCGTGGTCGTCCTTCCTCCTCCTCCCACGTCGTCGTCGTTGTCCGTCGTCGGCGTCTCGTCGTCGTCCCTCCTATTTCGTCGCCGTCGTCGTCGTCGTTGTCGTCGTCTTCCCTCCTCCCTCGTCGTTGTCGTCGTCGGCGTCGCCGTCCTTCCTCCTTCCTCGTCGTTCGCGTCGTCGCCGTCCTCCCTCCTCCCTCGTCGTTGTCGTCGTTGTCGCCGTTGTCGCCGTCGTCGCCGTCGTCGTCCTTCCTCCTCCCTCGTCGTCGCCTTCGTTGGCGTCGTCGTCGTCGTCTTCGTCGTCGTCGGCGTCGTTGTCGTCGTCGAAGTCGTCGGAGACGTCGTCGGTGTCGTCCTAGTCGTTGTCGTCGGTGTCGTCGTAGTCGGTCTTAACAGGTTTTGCAAACCAAGTTGCGGGTGGGTGGGTGGGATGTTTGCGCGAGCAGTGGAGATGACGACTTCAAGTTCAGCAGAGTGGATCTTACCACATAGATTGCCCCACAAATCTACTGCACAATATAGATTGCTCGATTGCATCAGCTAGATTGCACCACGTAGATTGCGCGCCACACGCATTGCACCACACAGTTTGAACCACATGTATTGCACACCATCGATTCATCAACATAGAGTGCACCACCTGTATGGCACCACATAGACTACACCACAGATACTGCTCCGCAAGGATTGATGCATTGCTTAAAGAAGATAGCACAACCTATTTTGCACAGCATCTATTGCACCGCGCAGGCTGCACCACATAGATTGCACCACCCATATTGCATGATATACACCGCTTGAAACACACTTTTTCGGGCCCACGCAGGCTAACATGTGTTTCATACGTTTCACGGACTCCACATCCATCCGACCTTCAAGATAAAACGATGCGGTGCTCCGCCTGATCCAGCACCAGCATGATCCCTTGCAGAAAACTGATGCGGTGGATACTGCCTGATCTATGCTGCGAGCCCCTTACAAGGAATGCAGCGAGGGCCGCATGCGCGCGGTCGTGTGCGTGCAAGCCTGAGCTAAGCAAGAACAGGTCACACGACATTGCAGGATCGAGCTCTTCAGAGACACACGAGAAACAACCGCTGGCCATCGCTCCGACGTCCATACCCCGTGCAAGCTTCGGTCTCGCGCGTGCATTTCTTCGCAGGGTGCTCCAAACTGCTCGTGGACCGTCCAGACTTTCCGGCGCTGGCCTCGCCGAAAAAAAAGGCACACGCCCGAGCGAGGCCACGCACAGACAGACAAACAAACGCGGGAGGAGCGCAAGCGCGGCGCGCGCCGGCATCCTCCGAGTGGCCGCCCCCGGCAGCCTCGGCGGGCTGCTCCGGCGCAGGGTCCTGGCGAGGGGGTGCTGGCCCGGTGGGCGGGGGGGGCTGGAGGTCCAGATGGAGACGGCCCAGTCAGCGCTGGCCCGTGGCATGCCCCAGGTGATGGTGTCCGGGTGATCGCACCAAGACATGCTGACACAATCCAGGCCTTCAAGTGGGGTGGGGCTCGAAGTCCAGATTGAGCTGGCCCAGTGAGCGCTGGCCTATGGCAGGCCCCAAGTCGTGTTCGTGCGATCGCACCAGGGAATGCTGACTGAATCCGGGCCTGTGACAGAGGCCTCCACATCGAGCCGCATCGCCGATGCGGCGCGATCCTCCGACCCCATCTACTCGGACCCCATCTAGGAGGCCTAGATTTAGGTCTGGCATGTCCTCCTTCAGGCGACTTTTCGACGAAACATGGAAATAGTTACAGGGCAGTCTTTAACACATGGGATTCTTAAACGTATAGGATGTTTAATACATGATTAATGTATGAATAGATTCCTGCATGAATTCACCGTTGTTTTCAATACTAAATCCTTGCATTTTTACTACATGATCCGCACGCGGAGCATGCATTAAAAAACGGCACTGTAAAAAAAAACAATGCTCAAACATAGCTTCAAACAGAATCTCGAGACCATCTCCTGATTATTTGTTGACTATATTCTTGAACGTTCCTCCTCTAGAGGGACAGGCCGGAACTCACGCCTGGCTGTGCTCGGCCGCTTGGGCGAGACGTGGCCTGCCGTCGCCCTCCCCAGGGCACGGGGCTGCTGCGCCTCGAGGCCTTCCGGCGCCCGGCCCTGGCCCCGACCCTCCTACTCCCAGTCCTCCTCCTCCTCCTCCTCCTCCTCCTCCTCCTCCTCCTCCTCCTCCTCCTCTTCCTCCTCCTCCTCCTCCTCTTCCTCCTCCTCCTCCTCCTCCTCCTCCTCCTCCTCCTCCTCCTCCATCTCCCCCTCCCCCTCCCCCTGAGCCACGCCGCTCCTCCCCGATGGAACTGCAGCCGGCGCAGGACTCCAAGTCGCTCCTCCAAGTCGCTCCAACGTTCTTCGAGAAGCCTTCCCAGGCCCCATCTGGCACCCTGCTACCTGGGCTTTGGATCCACAAGTCGTGCCTCCAAATCGTGGCTCCATACCGCTCCTCTGGATCGTTCCGCCGAATCGTTCCTCCAAGTCGTTCCTCCGACCCTTACAGGTCCTCCAAATCGTTCCTCCGAATTGTTCCTGCATAACATTCCTCTGAAACGTTCCTCCAAGTCGTTCCTCCGAATCGTTCCTCAAAATCGTTCCTCCGAACCTCTGAACCGTTCCTCCGAATCGTGCCTCCGAATCGCCGAATCATTCATCCGAATCGTTCCTCCGAATCGTTCCTCCAAAGCGTTCCTCCACAACCGTTGCTCCGAATCGTTCCTCCATGCCATTCCTCCGAATCGTACCTCCGAATCGTTTCTCCCAATCGTTCCTCCGAGCCGTTCCTCCGAAGCGTTCCTCCGAGCCGTTGCTCCGAGTCGGAGGTCTCCTCACCTCGTGCTCCGCGCTGCGCGGCGCACGATGCTGCGCGGCCACCCCCTCGCGCTCTCGCGCCCCCCCCCCCCCCCCCGCGGAAGAGGCAGCCCACTCCCCCCCACCCCCCCCCGAGACGGCAGATCCCCGGCCCGGGACCGCGCGGCGCAGAGGGCGCGCTTACATCCTCGCGCTCCCTGCGCGTGGCCCGCCGCAGACGCGCGCACGATGGGAGGGGAACGGACAACGACACGAATCGGGAGGTCCGCGCGGACTTCTCGGATCGGCGCTGGACCCCCGCATCTCCTGGCGCGCGGAGCGCGCCAGGGGCGGCGCTGGAGGCGCCGCCCTTTGGGGGGTCCCGCGCCGATCCGAGTCCGCACGGACCTCCGAGCTTGTACGGGGCAGTTTTTTTAATACAGGATTTAAAAAAAAACTGAGTTCAATACGTGATTAATCTATGAATACATATATGCAGGAACTCATCGTGGTTTTTTTAAACTAGATGCCCGCATTGTTTAATACATGATCCACACGCGGAACATGTAGTAAACATACAAAAAAACACTGTATGTTTATGTCATTGTTCGTTACCCCAGATGAGACATAATTGATTTCCTGAGGCAGCGTTGAGGGCCGCTCCGTGCACAATTCGCTCCGAATCGCACGAGCACCCCGTGCGATCCACCTCTCATGCGAAAGCTTACAGTCGGGGCCCTGAAGAAGGAGCCCTTTTCGTTGGGGAGGGGCTCCGCGTTCCTTAAGTGTTTCACAGCTTGCCTCAGGCTTTCCTTATGTTTTCGACAGGAGACCGAAAGGTAACTTATGGAAAAAAGGGGCCTCGTTCCATATTTAGGATTCCTTCTTCAGCGCCCCGACTGTACCGGTAAGAAAGCTTGGGGCACCCTCCTCGTCGACCTGGGGGGCCGTCGTGGGACAACACACACATCTCCGCGGGTCACCTGCTGGCAGGCCGATTCTCTGGTGCGAGCCTGCACCAGAAGGGCCCCCGGATCCAGGAGGGATGGCCTGGCCCAACTCAGGGCGACCAGCTCCGAATCTCGATAAGCCCGTCGATTGGACAAACGTTCTCAGGGAGCCCACAGAGGACGTACGCGCCCAGCTATGTACGTGAGCACGGGCCCTCCATCCGCGAGACTGGCCGCGTGATACGAACATTCGGGCAATGCGTACTTTCGAAACCAGCCTGAGGGCTCCTGAGGGCTCTGACAAGTCGTGGAACCTCTACAAAACACTGGGCGAGCGCACCCCCCGGACCGAGCCGCACTCTCCAGGCGAAGCTGGGCTTCCCCAAACCCTCCAAAACCCTTCCAAAAGATCGGAGATCTCCAAAAGCCTCCAAAAACCCTCCAAAACCCTCCACAAACCCTCGAAAACCCTCCCAAACCCTCCAAAAGATCGGAGGTCCCCCAAACCCTCCAAAAGATCGGAGATCGGAGCTCTTCCAGACAGTAAAGCCCTCTGCCCAGGCTCGATCCAGGCCTGGGTCAGTCAGGCCTTGCAGGATCCTGCAGGATCCTGCAGGATTCGAGCAAGTGGGACGAAGCACCAGTTGTGATGCTCCGAACAAGTGTCACAACACAAACGATGTTCCGAGCACACTTGTTTTGTATCACATTTGTTCTTGATCACACTTGTCAGGATCCTGCATCCAAGCCCAGGTCAGTGCGACCCTGACCCTGCAGGATCCTGAAAGATCTGGCGCTCTGGCTGACCCCCGTTTGCATTGACCTCCATCCCCAGAGATCCGACGTCGTGATTTTTACAACACGGGGTCCCCGGAAGGCTCGACCCGTTCCCCAGGACCAGTGCTTCCTCCTGGGTATTTTTGTTGACGCCCCCGAGGCCCGGCGAGGGCCCCCGGGAGCCGAAACTCGCGGAGAAGCTCCGTCTTGACCCCAAAAGTGGGGCCCGCACCGAATCAAGACAAGATGGATGCTGTTTTTCTGCACCTGTCAACCCACGGACCCTCTGCCAAAAAGTCACTGGGGGTTAGCGCTGGTCACCCCTTGTGGGCTGAGCCAAAGCACTATGTATGAGCAGGGTGGGTATTACCACACGACTCGGGGGAGGGGGAGGGGGAGGGGGAGGGGGAGGAGGAGGAGGGGGAGGAGGAGGAGGAGGAGGAGGAGGAGGAGGAGGAGGAGGAGGAGGCACTGCGTCTTGACTCTTTTGCACTGCATTGGACCTCTGGGCCTCTCCGGCGAGGCCCCCGCCCTGCCGCGCGCGACGTCCTCCGCGGGCGCGGCCAGCGACGACAGCCACGAGGCGGCGTCCATGGCGGGCCCCGCGGGGCGGGGCGCGCGGCGAGGCCCCTGGCAGCGGCCGACGGCCGCTGGCGCACGGGGCGTCGCGCGCGGTGGCGTCGCGCGCGAGGGCAGGGCCGGGCCTGCCAGCATCGGCCTGCAGGCGCTCGCCGGGCGGGAGCCGGGGCGTGGAGAGGGGGGGGGGCAAGCTAGGTGCGCTCGCGTCGTATCCGACATCCTACCCCTCCCTCCCGTCCCCTACTGTGGCGCAGATCCCCTCTCTGCTCGCACGGTCGGATGTCGAGCCGAGCAGGGCAGTGATCCCGAAAGGGTACGCGATGCACTGTAGAGCACGGCAGGGGGGGGGGGAGGGGAGGGGGGGAGGGGGGAAGGGGAGGGGGGAGGGGAGGAAGGGGGGGAGGGGGGGAAGGGGAGGGGGAAGGGGAGGGGGGAGGGGGTGGAGGGGGGGAATGCAAGCTAGGTGCGCTCGCGTCATATCTGACGTCCTACCCCTCCCTCCCATCCCTTACCATGGCGCTGATTTTCTCTATCCGCGGACGCGTGTCGTAGCGGACCTGTGGCTCCGCGCGCGCGTGCGTAGTGGGTGGTGGTGCGCGTGCGTGCGTGCGTGCGTGTGTGCGTGGTTGTGGTGGTGGTTGGTGGTGGTGGTGATGCTGGTGGTGGTGGTGGTGATGGTGGTGGTGGTGGTGGTGTGGTGTTGGTCTGGTGGTGGTGGTTTGGTGGTGCTGGTGGTGGTGGTGGTGGTGGTGCTGGTGGTGGTTGTGGTGGTGGTGGTGGTGGTGGTGGTGGTGGTGCGGCGCGGTGGTGGCGGGGCGGATGGGCGCGCGAGAAAGAGGCCCGCGCTGGGGCGAGAACGCCATCCTGAACGACGGAGGCCAAACACCGATCCGAAAATGAGGCCCACGCTGCAGCGGGAGCACGATTCGGAACGATTCGGGAGCAGAAATGAGGCCGGCGCCTCAACGAGAGCAGCATTTTGGGAAAAATGACGCCGGCGCCTGAGCGAGAGTCGTTTCCCGGGATTTCCCGGGAATCCTGTGTGTAAAAAAACAGTACGCGGAGGGTGCGCGGCCATCACCCGGACGCCATCAGGGGAAGAGGGAGAGTATTTTCATATTGAGTAATTGTGGAGGGAGGAGGAAGGGGAGGAGGGGGGGGGGGGGAGGGGGAAGGGGGGGAGGGGGAAGGGGAGAGGGGAGGGGGAAGGGGAGGAGGGGGGAGGGGGGAAGGGGATGGGGAAGGGGGGGAGGGCCGAGAGGGTCTTAGAGGAGGAAGGGAGCGAGGCCCGGGCTGCACCCCCACGCGCACGGCGAGCGGCGCGCACGCTGGAGGTGCGAGAGCGAGGGGGGGAGGGAGGCGGCGGGAGAGGGGGGCGCGGGCGAGCTGCAGGGGAAGCCCATGCCAAGAGGCGCCCTGCTTGCCTCCAGGGTGCCCTGGGTCTCGTGGGTGTCGATGGCTTTGCCATGGAGAACATGGCGCTCCCACACCAGAAAATCAATGGACGTCCTGGGGATTTTGTGCGGAAGGTTTCTTGTGGTCGAGCTGCTACTGTAGGTGAGGTCGCGCCTTATCTGACTCCCTACACCTCCAACCCATCCCTTCCCGTGGTGCCGATCTGTTCTCTGGCCGCCGACGGGTGACATTGCGGGCCTGAGATTCCAAAAAGGGCCCCATCGAATTATGCGCGAAAGGATGAAGAGGAGCTGCGTACATTGAAGGAGGAGGAGAAGAATGAGCAGGACGAAAAGGAGGATGAGGAAGCAGGAGGACGAGGACGAACAGCAGCAGCAGGACTGGAGTGGAAGAACAGGAGGACCAGTTGCACGATGTTCTAAGCCTCTTTGGGAGTTCATCGAGGAGTTCCTGGTGCAGTTGCCGCGATGTTGGTGCCATCCTGGAGCATCTCGGAGGTCGTATTGTGCAGATTTGGCCACCTTCGCGGTCCCCTGGCGCCCTCCTGGCCTCTCGACGCCGTGGTGAGCTCCCCAGAGCTCCGAAAACGGGCTTCGGACCCCCGGGTCGAAAATGGGTTACCCGGTGAGGGGGGGGAGTTCTGGAAAAGTGGCCCTCCCCGGGGCCTGGGGACCCAGACGCCGCTTACTCATTATGTGCAAAGGGCAATCTTGTCGAACACGACACGTTACAACATGTTACACAACAGATATGCCATGTCGCTTAGCACCATGTAATATGGCATGGCACATCTGTGAATATACGTACGAATGCATGTATAGCCAGGTAGATATAGAAATATCGACCGATTGATCTAGATATAGATACGAGCTGTGCAGATGTGTACACAGATATGTACACATTTGCAAACACATACACATACATACACTTACACGTACACATCTATAGATGCAAGTAGATCAAAAGGTCGACGCACGTACACATGTACATATGTACATCTATATATATATATATATATATATATATATATAGAACTACAAGTACAAAGGAATAGCGTTTCTGGCGACAGGCGGGGGAAGCAACATTCCGCAGCGCCGCGGATGCCCAAGCCCACCGCGCCCGTCTGAGGGGCGCCGACGCCGAGGGCCCCGGCTGGGGCTTCCCCGCCGGGGCCGCCGCCGTGGCCTCCAGGGCCGCCGCCGAGGCCTTCGCCAAGGCTGGGGCCGCCGCCGACGCTGCCGGGCCCGCCGCCAGGACCCAGGCCGCCACCGAGGCCGCCGCGGACGGGGCCGCGGCGGGAAGCTCACAGCGTGTGAGGTGTTGCCTGCCCCTCCTGGAGACCCTCCTCGATCTCGCAACACGGCCACCACAAGCCCCGCACGATGAATGGGGTGGATAAGGAGGATGAGGAAGAGGAGGAGGAGGAGGAGGAGGACGAGGAGGAGGACGAGGACGAGGAGGAGGACGAGGACGAGGAGGAAGAGGGAGACGAGGAGGGGAAGGAGAAGGAGGAGGATGAGGAAAAGAAGGAGGACGAGAACGCGGAGGAGAACGAATATGAGAACGAGGAAAAGGAAGGTGATGAGGAAGAGGAGGAGGAAAAGGAAGAGGAGGAAAAGAAGGAGGAAACTATAGAGAAACGGAGGAGAACTGAGGCACACGAGGCATAAGGGGCAACCGAGGGAGTGGGGGGAGGGAAGGAGAAACGTGGTGGCCAGACGAAGGGAAGTGGAGGTGGAAGCGCGCAAGCCCTCGGCGCGAGCGGTTCGCAAGCGCTGTGGCTTACGATGGGGGACCGCGCACCCGCTATGCGACGAGAACAGGCGCAACCGACACGGCATGGCGTTTCATGAGACCACCGCCAACCGTGTAGAATTCTGGAACGCCATCACCTTTTCTTCAACGACACAACATGACTAGGCGGCCACGCCCGACGCTCGACAGGCCACATCCCCCCCACACACACACACACACACACACACACACACACACACACACACACACACACACACACACACACACACACACACACACACACACACACAAACAAACAAATACACACAGACACACACAACACACACAACATACACAAAAAAGACAGGGCACAGAGCACGCAAGACCAGAAGGTGAGCACGCTCTTCCCCCTGAGCCTCGAAACTCAAAATGGGGTGCGGCAGCATGGGTGCCTGAAGTGTACCGCACATACGCACGCTCGCACATGCACGCAGCACACAGACGCGCATCACATGTGGGGCCACGGCCCCCACACCGAGCCAGGGCCACCAAAATGGAGCACCTAATGAATTCACGCAACTTGTTTCCCCAATATTGTAGTTGATAGGTCTCGAAACGCATTTGATTTCGAGAACCGGAGAGTCTCCTGTGTTCGGATTGATGCTTCGGCCCTTGCGCGGCGCCAACAAGCCGCGGGCGATCCCATCAGGCAGGATGCAATAGGCCGAGCACAGCGTACAGAAAATCATTCGGCGCAGCACGGGCAGGAGGCGGCAAAAAGTCCGATCGATTCAGGGCCCAAGAGCTCTTCGGCGAAGCGCAGCGCAGCACACACCTCCTCCGAGGCCCCCGCAACGGCTTTAGCGCCACACACCCGAAATAACTCACTCGCCTGCCATCTCTGCATTTCGCGTGGGTCACGCGCGCGCTGGCCCCCCTATCCGAGCTGTCACAGGGAGGCCCACGCACGCGCCTTCAAGCTGCGCAATTTGCGTCGCCACGCCGCCTTGGAGCGTGTAAAGGAGGGCATGTTCCACGCGGGCGGATTTCCTGCCTGCAACAACATTCCACGGCGCCCCACTGGCCCTTGACGCGCCCGAAGGGCGGGATGGTGTCGAGTCGCTCCTCTCTGGCGCCATAAAATCGTCTGACTGAACCAGGCAGAGCAATCACAACGCAATTTGACATGCTTCAAAAGTTCCGACTGGGTCGACCTTGCAGCGGCAGATTCGGCACCGATGCGAGCGAAAAGGTCCGCCCACGCGTGGTCGGTAAAAGATTCGAAATCGAACTCCAGAGCTCCTTCCTGCACGAGGTCATCCCAGGAGCGGCGGGCTGGGGTCCGCGCGAAACTGGGTCGCAGGTCGGAGCCGCGACACGGCTGACATATGCACCCCCACGTGGCAGCGCGAAAGGAACGGGCAGACTCCAGGTCCTCGGACCCGCCGCTGCCCTCGCTGACCAGACGCTACCTGGGCACCCAAGCGGCCGCGCCTAATAGCCTGGAGCAACGCCCAGCGCTCGGCCCCGAGCGGACTGAACCCGCCCAGAGACGGCCGCGTAGACTGCTCAAAACAGGGGGGCACTGGGGCCCAGCTCCACCGCTGCCGATCCACACCGACGCAGCCCAGGGCCCTCGTTGCCCAGCCCCGAGCCGTCGGCGAAGGTGCGCCTCCCGATGAGCTCGCGGGCACCGACCCTGGGGGAATGCGGGGGCATCGCCAGGGGCCTGGGGCATCTTCGCAGACCCGACGGGGAACAATCTGCGAGCTCTGCAGCATCCCAGCCGGGAAGACCGAGCCCAGGCATAGCTTCACCATCTCCAAGACGCGATCAGGATAGCACTGCCCCCGTGCACGCGGGGAAGCCTCTGCGCCATCGCAATCATGGAGCCGGCGCCCCGAAGTACCCTCAGCAGCAGCAGGGCAAAAAAATGTTAGCGTCACTATCAGAAAAGCCGGCCTGGTACCTCCTTACTGATGGGGCACATCGAGCATCCGACAAGGCACCTCGAGGCCTTCGCTTAGGACTCCGCGGCGCAAGCCTCGCATCCGAACAGCCCCCAGGCCACCCGCTTCTGGAACGCGCCGGGAGATGCGGGTCGCTTTCCAGAAGGAGATCCCGCACCTCCGTTACCGTCGGAGCTCAAAAGGGGAGACGCGGGGAGAGAGCGCGAGTCGCCGAGGCCAGCACCAACTACACGGGCAGACGCCATCGCCCAACCAAAACGGCACATTGACAGCATTGCAGCGGTAATCAGACCTTGGCAATAATGTGCTAGGTCTTCCTCGGAACAGGCTGCCCGCGGATGCTGGGCCGCGCTAGCTGTAGAGTGCAGGCGAGACCTTGCCATCCCAGACTACTGGCGCGCATCCGATAGGCAACGGGATGGTCGCGCCAAGATTCGAATCAAAAAACCTGCCCCTCTCAGCGGCCAGACACAGGGTGAGAGCGCAAGACCCCTTCGCGCCCACGAAGTTTCCAGCGAGAGAGCGGAGGGGCAGTCCCGTAATATCAGCGAGGCTACTCACTCTTGCCCCGTGAGCCCCAACTGGCAGAGGGCCACTCCTCCAGAAAGTGCCAGCTCCACTGGGGCCTCGCGGCGGAGAGCTTGCAACTACGGTCTTCTCTGCGACAGCTTTCTCGGGCGGGCCTGCTCCTGTGCGCGCAGAGGCCTCCCGCTGAAAACTTCGCATCTCAGATTTCTCGCGCGCTTGTGGCCGCGAGGCCTCCTGGTGCGCGCGCGCCAGAACCTTCGCGTCGACCCGCGAGGCCGAGGCAACGCATCCGCCCTTAGATACCTGGGGGGGGGGGGGGGCCAAACCGACGCGAGGACTCTGGTCACAAAACCAGCTCGCGGCCCCAGAGAGAGCTCAAGAGCCCCTATGACGGTCACCGACCCACTGGGCACTCACGTCGCCCCTGAGGACGCGGGGCCGAACTGCGCTAGAAGGCCAACAGAGCCTGACCAGAGCACGGTGCAACAGCAGGCGCAGAAGCGCGCTGGCACTGCTGCAACCAGCCAAGATTCCCGGGCAGCCAACCACCTCCCTAGAGAGAGACCCGGAAGCCCGGACGGTCCGAGGACCCCCATCAACTGCCCACGTCATCCACAGCAGGGGCGCTGAAGAGCACAAGCTGCATCAACATGTGAAAAACGGTGCGCTCGCAGCACTCGCACACTGCAACCAGAACAGACACAGCATGCCCACCGGACCGCGAAGGGCGGCCTCGGCGCCTCAGTTGTGCAAGAGCGCTGCGTCACGAGACGCGGATGCCGGCCCAGTCCCCCAGAAAGCTGGGTGCTTGTTGTCCCTGCCCCAGGCGACAGACGCGGGTCGACGGAGCCCGCCCGCCCCCCCCCCGTTCTGACAATGCTGTTCGGCAGACCTCCATCTGGCTTTCCATGCACCACGAGACGGGTGCGCGCTTTCGCCAGGCCACGACACACGTTTCTCGCACGTCGGGAAGAGAAGGCCGAGGGATAGCAGGGCATCGTCGGACACCACCTCAACCGACCTGGGGTGGAGTCGCAGCTGCCACGAGGCTGTCTTAGTCGGGAGGCCGCGGCAAACCTGCCTCAGGCCCGCCACACTGACGTCACGCAATTCCTCCCAACTCTTAGCGTCGTCGGGCAGCGTCGGCTCCCTACAGTTGTGCAAAGCCCAGATAAGCTGCCACTGGTCAATGCAATCGCCCGCCTGCTGATATGGTTCGGAACGCTAAGTGTCCGTGTGGACCCCCTGCCTGTCACGAAGACGACTATGCCTGTGAGCACATGCAGCACCACCAGCAACCGCATCGTTAGCCCATCTGGCCCACGACTGCAAAGTTTTGCCTGCATGGGCGGCCACCTTGCCATCCACAGCGTCCAAGCGGGCTTGAACCTTCTCGCAGAAGTCGGCATCCGAGAAATTATCAACAACGCCTGACACGACATTCCGCGCTTCACTGGAAAGATGCTCATCCAGCCGAAACCCACGCCGATAATGTCTTAAGAAGCCACCTGTGTCGTAGAAGGCCTTGGCGATAATGTCCACATCAGCAAGCTCCGACTCCAGCAGATAATCAATGCTGGACCTGACCGAGCGCAAGTGCCTCAAACATCTGCCAAACACACGCCACGTTCCGACTTCATCGGGCGCAGGAGAGAACTTCGGATCCAAGAGCTTCCAAGAATACTTCGCCGCACCCGTACGACCGTAATACTACCTCCTGGTCTCGACGTCCATGATATCGAATCGATCCAGCATCTCGGACTCAACCCCCTCAATGATGTCATCCCAGCAAGCCGCCAGGACGTCATCACATGCCACTTTGCCCAATGCCTGCCACATCTGCTCCCACTCCGCAGTAGGGGGGAAACCTGCTGCAACCTGAGTTTTAGATCTCTGGGGACTTCTTCGGCTCTACAGCCACACGCTGATCCATTACCTTGGGTTTGGCACGAAAGTGTAGCCACACTGGGAGATGCTTGAACGTGTCGACAGCCTCATCCACAAACGGCTGCCCTGTGAACAAAAACAGCTGCTCGCACACAGAGAGCGAATCAGTGTTGCCCCAGGGAACGCTTGGCGGCAAGTGGACTCAGGGGCCATGCACAAGACACCCTAGAAACTATGGAACTAACGCTCGACCAGCTCTAGGTCCAACGCCACGGACCCATGCCTGCCGGGTCGCGTTCAACCTGGCGAGACATGCTGTCACCGTCGAAAGAATCTCAAGGTTCTCACCAGCAAGACCGCCTCCTAGGAGTCGGAGGCGGGGGGGGAGGGAGAAGAGGGGGGAACGCAGGCGGCATGGGCCAAGAGAAAGCGGAGTGATAGGAAAGGAGAAATGAGGGGCGGAGGGGGGCGGGAAACAGGCCAGAGCGGAACCATCGATGCTACAATTAGAAGCCAACATGTAGATATACATATACATACATACATACATATATATATATATATATATATACACACAAGCATACGCACGCATACTAGGGAAACTGCCGAAAGGCCCGCGACCCAAAGACTGGCCTCGGCGTTTTCAGTGCCAACTTTCCCATCTACTCTTCCTCGACCTCCTCTTCATCCTCCTCGCCACCTCCGCGGGGGCCAGGGGGGAAGGTCAAAAAGTGGGACCCTGTCGGAAAGCAAATTTGAATAACTTTGTGGGGCAAAACACCGCGGCCTTTTCTCTCTCTCTCTCTCTCTCTCTCTCTATCTTCCTCTCCCACTCTCTATGCCGTTGGGGAGCGGGGGGACAGGGTTCCACGCACTACCTCACGACGACAACGTGGCCCTTGGCAGGACAGCACGCCGGCGGCGTCGGAGCACACGCCACGTCTCATCGAGCCCTCACGGGCAGGATGATAGACACTTGCTGTGGTGCGCGCAATAGGAGACGAAGGAGGACGAGGAAGAGGAGGAGGAAGAGGAGGACATGAAGGAGGAGGAGGAGGCGGAGGAGGCAGCAAGCAGGGGCGGCCAGGCAGAGGGGGCAGCAGAGAGGGGGAGCAGGGGCAGGGAGGATGTCGTGGGAGTAGTCATCGAGGCAATGGTCGTGGAGGTCGCGGTCGTCGTGGTGGTGGTCGTGACGGTCGTCGTGGCTGCGGTGGAGGTGGCTGTTGTGGCCGCAGTCGTGGGCAGCGTGGTGTCGTCGTGGCGGTGGTCGTGGTGGTCGTGGTGGCCGTGGTGGGGGAACTGGTGGTGGCTATAGTGTTGAGCGTCGTGGCGGTGTCGGCGTGGTCGCGCGGTGGTCGTGGTGGTGATCGTCGTGGTGGTCTCTCACTCTCTACCTCCCTCCATCTCTCTCTCTCTCTCTTTCTCTCCCGCGGTTCAGCATCCAGATCCAGCCCCTGGCCCTGCCCAGGCCGTCACTCAGCACGCGACGAGGCTCGCGCCGCGAGGCGCGACCAGGAGGAGAGACCAGAAACCGGACCGCCAGCACCGAAGCAAGAAGGGCAGCAGACGCCCACGGGCCGCGGCCAACAGATCAGGGATCGGCCCCGCCAGACGCAACAAAACGGTCGACGGCAGGACGTTCGCGATCAGCACGAGCCCCGCCACCACCATCGCCAAAAGGCCGGCGATCGCCTCCGCAGCCAGCGCCCAGCCAGCGATCACAGCCTCGAGGACCACAGCCAACATCCTGGCCGTCGAAGCTCCCTGGACAATTTCCATGGCCAGGGCCAGAGCCCACTCCAGGGCACTAGCTCCAGGATCAAGGCTGGACATTCACGACGCCATTCGGATGTTCATGTCCGCGATTATCGACACATCAGCGCACAGCTTTGCCATACAATTCCTCAAACGGCAAGGCCGGCAAGTGCTGGGAACGAGTGTGGGGAGCCCTGACATTGTAGATCACCCTGGCTGTCTGCACCTCATGCCTCATGGGTCAGATTGGCGGACAGTGCGTGTGTGTGTGATGACCATCTTGGCACGCTCTTCCGAACCCTGTCGCAAGAAACCGATGCCCGACACGACCACCATCGCCACCGGCGCTGCTGCGCCGCGAAGCCCAAAACCGCTGGCGGGCGCCTTGAAGCAACTGGCTGAGGGAAAGGGTGGGGGCAGCGGAAAGGTGACAGCGAGAGGAGAGGGGGAGTAGGGAGGGGGGATAAGGCGCAAAGGGAAGGGGACAAGGGGGAGGGCCTTAAAGGGGAGGGTAGAGACAGGGGTGGGAGGAGGATATGCCCCACTCCTCCACGTGACATCCATCACTCGTATCCTCGGCTGCGGGGGAATTCGGCGGCAAGAATCGGTCGTCGGGGGCCGTGCAGACTCTGCCAGGCCCGAGAACGAGATGGCATCATTGCGGACAACGCCCAACCGCAAATGTCGTTCGACAGAGACAGAGACTGCTGTTGAACAAACTACGTGCGCTCTTCACTGAATTGACCAGGCCAGCCTGGAAACCGACAAGAATCCCTATCCAAATCGAACCCAAAAGGATGTCAATCAAACTCACCGTCCGTACAGTTCCCATGTCGGCCAGGCGTCACGACATCGGCGAATGCCACCACTATCCTCGCAATTGGTCCAGCGGAGCGCGCGGAGCGATTTGAGATACCAGCCGGCGATTCGCTACCCGCTCGGGGTCGGGCCGGCTCGCCCAGACGGCGTCGCCGGGAAGCAGAAGCTGCAAGGTGAAGCCTACCAGCCGGGCAAAAACTCGGGCTGCGGACACGCACGGGAGCAAGAGAGGAGGCACTCTTTAAAAAGGCCCGTGCTCTCTGGAAGCTGCCCGTGGTAGTTCACCAGCTGGAGCTCCAGACGCTCTCAATGTTGAGCAGGGGCCGACCGTCCCGGCACTCCTATAGTCCTACCACGAAATGTTCGTAGAACCCAAAAATGCTCCAAGAACAAAAACAATTATCTTAGAGCATAAGCCCGACGTGTTAAGACAAGACAATATCAACCAGACACTTTCTAAGAACATCTCGTAGAAGCCACACAAGGTTCTCAGAACACTGCTTGGCAGGGCTATATAGGCGAGCCAGGACGCCTCGCCACTGCTTGACAATGGGGGACGCACTGACCCAGGCCAACGCAAACCCAGGCCAGTCGGGCTTCGTAGGAGCCCGCAAAAAGCCTGCGGCATCCTGGAGGGTCCCGCACCGAAGCCCGGGTCGGTGCGCCACCGGCTCCGCAGGATCCTGCGAGACCCGGCGCTCTGCCTGGCCCCCATCTGCCTCGGCACCTGTCTCTTGAGCCCCGTGCGGCGTCCAAGGAGGCTCCTCCTCCTCCTCCTCCCTCCTCCTCCCTCCTCCTCACTCCTCCTCCCCCCTCCCTCCTCCCCCTCCTCCCTCCTCCCTCCTCCTCCTCCTCCTCCCTCCTCCTCCCCTCCTCCCTCCTCCCTCTCCCTCCTCCCTCCTCCCTCCTCCTCCTCCTCCTCCTCCTCCTCCTCCTCCCCTCCTCCCCTCCTCCTCCTCCTCCTCCTCCTCTCCTCCTCCTCCCCTCCTCCTCCTCCTCCTCCTCCTCCTCCTCCTCCTCCTCCTCCTCCTCCTCCTCCTCCTCCTCCTCCTCTCCTCCTCCGCTCCTCCTCCTCCTCGTCCTTCTCCTCCTCCTTCCACCTCCTCCCCTTCCTCCTCCTCCTCCTCCTCCTCCTCTTCTTCTTATTATTCTTCTTATTATTCTTCTTCTGCTGCTTCTGCTTCTGCTTCTGCTTCTGCTTCTGCTTCTGCTTCTGCTTATGCTTCTGCTTCTGCTTCTGCTTCTGCTTCTGCTTCTGCTTCTGCTTCTGCTTCTGCTTCTGCTTCTGCTTCTGCTTC